GCCCCATGAGCTATTGCGAGGCATTGAGCAGAATCGTAAACAGAAACGGAATGCTGAGACGGAACATTGAGAACTGTTGAAGCGGATTCCATGCTTGAAAACATGAAACACAAAAATGGCTTCTTTATTTAATACCGATTCGACGTTACAACCGAACTGGCATCAGTCATCGGTCAAGGAGCTGGCAACGATCTCATCACCTGGGTGAAATACGATGGAATGTACTTTACCAAGGTGAAAAGATCTGGATTTCAACGGGAATTTTCCGTCTCGCCATCAGAGAGGTACAACTGCGCATCATAACATTAGAAATAATTAGTTAAAATTAATTCTCTGGAGAATTATATTTCTGAATTGGACGTTCTGTTTGAGCGTTCACTAGCTTTAACTCTGTATGTGAAATAGAATGCGCCGATTAACCACACCCCCAGTTCAGTAATTGTAGGGCAAATATAGCCGAAAGACTTCATTGAAAATCCAATATTTGGATGACCATATTATCCGCCCATATAATCATCTAAACTAATAATATTTTTGGTTTGAGGCGACCAAAACGGAAAGTTAAAGTGCTCAAAACTTAACGTGCGTCATAACTGTCCATTGTGTCCACAGGGAACATAACAACTGAGCGACAGTACACAACCTGAAAACACGTATTGATTGCGGAATTGCTTGGAACGAGAATAACTTAACGAGCGAAGATTGCATAATAACTTTAAATGTCATTTCAAACGGTCACTCATCCAAAATCAAGCTCTGCTGCTGAAGCTTTAAAGATTTGAATGGATTTTACAAGCACAACATAACTAATTATAAGTCCATTCAGAAACGGAGCATTCAGCACAGCTTATGGTAGTCTACCTCATAAATTTTAGGGAACAATAAGTCGGATTAAAAGACAATCTTACTCGACGCACAACGGATACGGCAGATTCTTGATCATCTTGTAGGCTCCGCGTTTCCTCCAGTTCGGCATATGGGTCCGACCAACCAACACCGTGAACTTCTTCCACAGCCTACGGTTCATCTCATCCCAGCTGCATGATGAATCGTTCATTCGAGGTAAGACGCATACGTCGCCGCAAGTCGGACAATCGTCGTTGCCACATCCCTTTTTCTGCATCTCGATCGGGCTGAAGTAAATGACTTCTAATCCAGGCACTGGTCACAGTTTTGTATGAATCTCAATGCTGATCATTACGCAAATAAAACCAGAAGATTTGGCTAAACATAGTTTATGATAATAATATGATAAGGAGGCATACAGGATTGGTTGTCAGCTTTGTTCTGACCTAGCTTAACTATTTTTTCACTAGCTTAACTGTGGCCACCAAACAATAATTCGCTTTTTCTATTGCCGCGTTTCCATGTTCATAACGACTCAGCAGTGACATTTTCATCGCTTTGGCGGCTAGGTGGGGCAGTGAGTCAGAAATCAGTTTCGAATTCGAACTCCGGAGGTGCTGAGTCTTATTTCAGCAGCGAGAAATCTCTGTCTATAGTACCAATCCCCTTGAGCAAGGAATTTACCACACGTTGCCTCTCACCGGCGTTAATTTGTTGAAGGAGCGAAGTTTGGACTCAAAGTGAGAGGTCCTGAGTTGGAGCCCCTGTCAGCGCCACTTGCTTTTCTTCCGTCCGTTGTTGATAAGTGAGTAGTACCACGCAGATAAACGAATGGAGAGAAAAGAGCAGAATACAGGCCATGCTAGTCACATAGCTGCTGTCGATTCTGGTTTTAAAAAGACAAAGCA